CTTGTTATTACATGCTGTCAAGATGTGACCAACTTATAGCCAGCTAATTGGCTTTAAAGTTAAGTCATATATTTAAGGAGTGGTTTTACTATTGCCATCCCCTCCCCCTTCCGTGAGTTTCCATGACTGAGAGGGGATTTGAGCCCAGGTGAATCCTAGTCCATCATTCTGTCCACACTGGATAATATCAGCACTGTTTAGCATTCTAAAATATTCAGTTGTCATAACTGGAAGTTGACTTCTAGCTACTTCCAGTTTATTTAATTTTGTAAATTATTTAAAGTTTTTTAAACCATTCTTAGAGTCTGTGCAGATACCAGGAGGTCCCAAGAGAAGAAAGTTGGCCCCAGATCCATCCCATATCAACCACCCCTGTGCAGAATTGTCAGGATATTAAGCCTTGTAAATAATATTTGTGACAATTTGGTATGTTTCGCCTGGAGATGAATGAGATGTGATATGAGAGCCACCCTTCAGTTTTTAAAGCTTATCACATGGCAGAGGGAGCAAAGTAGTGTTCTGCAAAGCACAGTGAACTTCCCAGGGTTTCCTAGGTATAAAATATGCAGAACTGATTTACCAGTCCTTCTTGGTGGCACTCTGGAACACTTTCAGCTTGCCTGAGGCCACACAGGTACGGCACATGGCACACAATCCTAATCAGCCACACACACTTCTGGTGATCTTGACTGGCCCCTCTGCTGGGAGGCACTGAGGATTTGAACTCCCAACCCCAGGTTCTGCAGCCAGGTACCCCAATCCACTGAGCTACAGAAAACTAGCTCCATTACTAGGAACCAGACAGTTGAAACTAATAGAAGCCCCTTGACTTTCAGCAAGTTTTCAGGCCAATTCATGCCTGTTGATTCAAGACCGAGTTCTGCTAAGGCTGACATCCTATACACATTTGGGAGACTGCTCTGCTGGGGCTTATGATGCACCACAATAAATTTCTCCATGTTAAGTTCATTAAGCCACATCCGACTTATGGCCCACTAGTAGGGTTTTTCTTTCTGATATATGTAAGACATTTATACACATCCCTGCGAGTTTCCACAGCCAAGCATGGCTGTGAACCTATGACTCATGGTTGCTAGTCCAACACTATTAACCACAGCACACTGAAAGCAAGTCTTGTTCCACTATAAGTGTGTCACTTAGGTGACCGCACCTTATTTCCCAGTGTATGACTGCAGGTTTTCCCAGAGCAGTCCTATTTACTCAAAGAACTAAGTCCCACTGAGTTCATCAAGCTATATTCCAGGTAAATGGCCAGCAGTATGCAATGGTTAAAAGAGTCGGAGTCGCCTTTGGAAGATCTAAGTTCAAACCTCCGCCAAGCTATGAAATTCACAGGGTGACCCAAAATCAGTCACCTTCTATTAACCTGACTAAACCTCAGATGCTTGATCCAAGAACAAGAGAGAGAGAGAGAGGAACAGTGTACACTACTCTGAACCTTACAGAAGGAAGATGGGATATAAATCTTGGAACTGCAGAGCTGGAAGGGACCCTTTGGATCATCGAGTCCAGCCCCTGTCAAGGAAGCACAGTGCGGAACTGAAACTCCTCCAACCATGCCTAAACCCACTGAGCAGTCCAATGATCAAATATATAAATAGTCTGTATGAAGATGCAGCCTTAGTACCAGATAAGCTTTCGGGTTACAGATTCTACAAGTGAAGGTGATGGATCTCTAAATAGCAGGTAAAACAAAATTAAAATAATAAAAAAGACAAAAAGGCGCACCTTAAAGGCCATTATATTTTAATGTAACCTTTTGTGGACCTTCACCCACTTCTTCAGGTACAATATAGATATCACACAGGAAAACATTCATACCAAGCTAAGGGACAATGACGTATTGATGCAATTCTTGCCTTCAATGATTTATCACCAATTTTTGTTGTTCAATTCTTTTCTTTTTTTATAACATTTTATTAGTTTTTCACTATATCTACATTCAATTCATGCTTGCTAAATATTGTGCTCCATGGGTTTTCTTATAATCATCTATTTTCGCGTCTTTGTGATTTAATTCCTTCTCTGATCTTCTAGCCTTTTATAGTACAAATTCCATGTATTAAAGTATTCTGAATCTTCTTTCTCTCTGCCTCAGTGTAAGTCTATCCATTTCTGCACAGTCTAAAATCTTCTTAATTATCTCTTCTGTTGGTTTTTCTTTGTTTTTCCAATGTTGTGCAAACACAATCCTAGCAGCTGTCACAATATGCAGTGTTAGGTAAACCGATTGTTTATCAAAATCCTCTGGTAAAATACCTAATAAAATAGTTCTGGTTTAAAATGTATAGATTTTTAAGCATTTTAATCATGTGTGTATTTGAGTCCCCCCCCCTTTTTTTTTTCTTTTTTTTTTTTTGCTTTTTCACATGTCCACCATACACATAATAGGTACCTACTTTTTGTTTTACAACATTTACTAGACATATTTGGAAACATTTTTGCAATCCTGGCAGGTGGTAAGTGCCATCTATATAAAACATTTTACTGTATAACTATTTTCTTTATACAAAGTCGCCATTGTTATTTTACATTTTCTATTCCACAATTACTGCCACTTCTCCAATTCAATATTGTGTCCCAAATTTTTAGCTATTACTGCCATTTCTCCAATTCAATATTGTGTCCCAATTTTTTAGCTCATTGTACCATTGTTTCTTTAACCTGTTCATCTTCCATTTTCCAATTCAAAAGTACTGTAGTTTGTATAGTTTCTTAGTTTATTGTCTGAGGTTAACAATATTTGTTCAAGCGGTATTTGTTCTTTATAAAAGCCATCTTTAACATCTTTGTCATATCTAGATTGAATCTGCATTAGTGGCCACCATGACAAGCCTAATCCCTGAGCAATAAGCTCTTGTTTTGGTTTTAACTTCTGTATCTAGTATATCTTTATAGCACGAAACTTCCTCAAAATTCCTGAGATTTGGGTGCACAAATGCTTCCATGGGTGAAAGCCACCTAGGTATTTTTATGTACATTTTCTTTTTTATCTTTTCTCATATTATCAATAGTGAGTTTTTAATATAATGGGTTTGAAAGTATCTATGGGTCTTGGCTTTCTCAAGCCATTAAAAGGCATGGCAGCCCAATTGTTGATCATGCCCTTCTAGCTAGAGCACTCTTTTATTCCTCAAAAGTGATCCATTCTTTAAGCCAAACTAAGTTGTTGTTGTTTAGTTATTAAGTCATATCCAACTCATCGTGACCCCTTGGACCAAAGCATGCCAGGCCCTCCTGTCTTCCACTGCCTCCTGGAGATTGGTCAGTTTATTTTCACTTTTTTCCCTTGCCAAATAAACTTTAGAATCATCTTATTTAAATCCTCAAAATATTTATTTTCTCTTTGGAACTGTTTGGAACAAAAAAAAGTAGTTTTGGTAAGATACATATTTTAGTTGTCGCTATCATTCCTAGCATTGATAATTGTAAGTTCCTCAATTTTTCCAAGTCTGATTTTATTTAAGTAATTTTACATAGTTGTCTTCTTTGATGGTTGCACATCTTGTGGTTAGATATATTCCCAAATATTTAACCTTTTTGACTATTTGTAACTTTGAGATTTCTGATATAGTAGAGGGTTTTATTGCTTTGCTGTTAGATTTTTTGTGATAACTTTTTTTTCCTTCTTGATTTTCAGTGCTGATACTTCACATTCCTCAATTTTTTCTATTAATATCAGTGTTGATTCCAGTGGATCTTCTAAGATAAATGCCAAATCGTCTGCAAATGCTTGTAGCTTACACCTTTTATTTTTGCTCCTTTAATTTCCAGATCCTGTCTCCCATTTCTATTGAGCACTGCCAGGATCAATATAAACAGCAGAGGGGAGAGGGGGCATCCTTGTGCCTTTTTTAATCTTAATGTCTTCAGTCCATTCACCGTTTATAATTATTTTTTCTGTTTGATTCTTATATATTTATTGTCTTAATTACATTTATAAACTTCTCTCCCAAGTCCATAATGTTCACCTGCTGATATCATAAATTGCCAGCTAACATTATTGAATGCTTTTTGAGCATCAAGGAATAGTAATGCCATTTGTTTTCCTGCTTTCATCTCATAATATACCAGTAGATCCAAAATTATCCTTAGATCATGCCTTAGCTGTGGTGTTCAGTTCTTTTGGTAAGGCAAAAGCTTTTCTCTGAATGAAAGGGAAGACTGTACCAGTCAAGACCTTGCACATTCTCGTAAGCTAAAATGTAGGGCCACAAATTATGAAGAGACTCTAAAAGGCTTTTTAAAAAGCTGCACTTCAATATTCACACAATGGACTGTTATTACAGTATTATTTTGGTGACGCTACGCGCCCCCTGCTGGATGCCCACCTTTAACTTAAGCGGGGCTGCTAAGGAGAGGATCTTTAGGAGGCCATTAACTTATCAGGTTGCCAAAACGAGGAAGGGCCTTTTTGGGCGCCTGACAGCAACAGTGCCATCCCCGCCTCTTAACCTCTGAGGCAGTTTCGATGCTCCCACCCCGGGTCCTTGCCTGCAGCAACGGCACCTCGCTGGCTCCAGCCCGCGGGCCATCTGGAGAAGGCGGGCAGGCGGCTTCCGTGCCCGCCGACTGCCGGCCGCCTGCAGGCAGGCGGGCGCGGTTGTCGTCCCGGGCTCCTCCTCTTTCTCCCGTGGGGCGGCGGGTGAGGCGAGTGAGGGAGAGTATGTGTGTGTGTCTGTGTGTATCGGAAGTAACCAGGAAGTAGTGGTGGGGGGTGGACGGTTTGTTGCGACGTGTGGAGCCCGGCAGAGGCCTAAAAGCGTGGCGACAAACCCGAGGGCTGGAAGGGGGGGCACGAAGAGAGGACTGGGGTGGCATGGCGTCGTCAGGCGAGCTGCTTTCCCCCTCCCCCTCCCCCAAGCAAGCGTCTCTTGGCCAAAATAAAATTAATTATTTCGAAAGAACCAAGTTGAAGCTAGCCGGAGGTTGTGCGGGTACTTTTGTTACAGCGCCTTCCTGAACTCGTATGGAAAGGAAGACCGTCCTTGGCATCCGTGGTAAGAGTTTCAGGACACGAAAGGGCAAGCCTTCCTGACGCCCTCTCCTTGGCCTTGGCGTTTGTTGTTCTTTTTTAAAAACAGACGTTATACAACGAGAAACTCCTTCGACCCACAAAACTTACAAATATTTTTTTAAAAAGTATAGGGCGCTGTGAGCGATGGTATATCTAATCTGTATTAAATAAACTGCATTCCTGCTTAGCTAGATAGTTGGGTCGCGCCCATGTCTGGCTCCATTCAGAAGAAACACGTGTTGAATCAGCGCATTAGTGGGATCATGCTGATTTCGTCTGGCTCTGAATTTGTGTGGACCAGCTGACCCCAGCCCCTGATGCTAGTGTACAGTATACCGCAGGAATGTCTGTAGAGATGAAGCTTTCACATATATTGTTTATTGGGTTCTGAGTAAAAAGCAGATCCATGAAATCAAAAACTGGATCCTCATAATTTTTATGTGAAAACCTCCCCAAGACATCATCCCATTCATAGATCCCATCTATGCCATAGACTGTACACCACGGAAATAATGGATACATCAGCACATGGTGTTGCTGTGGTGGAAAAACGGCATGGCATGGACCCTCATTGATCCATGTGATTTTTATGTGGGATCGACTGTCAAGTCATAGGTGTCATTTGTGACTACGGATTACACCACAGAAATTGTGGGTCCTTCGGCACGTGGCTTTGTAGTAGTGCAAAAACAACAATCCAAGGCACAGATTATCATGGATCAACATGATTTTTATATAGGATCCTCCCCAAACAACAATCAAATCAAAGGTCCCATATGTACATACAAACTAGATCTCACATATCATGTGACTTTCAGCATATGGCTTTCGAGCACATATTTTTGTAGCACAGAAAACATGAATCATGAGGATCCGTGCCTTGGATCAATGTTTTTGCACCCAAGGGTTAGATCCTAATGTGAGATGTATGCCTTGCACTACTTCAAAACCATGTGCTGATGGATCTATTTTTGTTGTGTAGCATTTGGGCATAGATGGGGACTATGATTGGATGATGGTTTGGGGAGGATAACTCATAAAAATCCCACATAAAGATCATGTGGATTCATGAGGATCTGTGACTTGGATCAATGTTTTTGCACCACTGGAAAGCCATGGTCCATTTTGGACAAGACCTGGACTGCTCAAAGGATGGAACTGCCATCTGTACAAAGAAAGACTAAGGTTTTATGGTAATTTTATTTTAGAAAAAAGATGACAGAATGGACTGTAAGGGGTGCAGTAGTAAATGTGGAGAGAAAGGAGAGAGAAAAAGAAACAGTTAATTGAGTAAATCATGTGGAGATAAAGGAGAGAGAAAAAGAAACAGTTAATTGATGGATCTGACTGATTAATAGATTAAGAAATGACAGAAAGTGCTGTCGGCAATAAACTCTAGCTTCCCTTCTTTTTAAAGATAATGTTGCAGAGGTGTCTTGTTAGCTGTGGATTATGAAAGCATAACAGAGGTAGCATGTTTTTTTTTTCAGGAGATATAAACTATGAGTATTCCCACAGGCCAGTGTGGAATAGCTTGTCAACCTTAATCTGAACCTCAGCAAAGCTTTTCTAATGAAAGAAAACCAAATGATTTCCCTCTCCACTTTTGAGTCAGAAACAGACTGAAAAAGACCTTGTGGTTTTCTTTTTCGTGATAAGTATTTCAAAAGTGAAGATACCTACTCAGCTGAGAGTGAAACCCATCTCTCTCTTTCCCTCCCTCACTCTCTGTATATACCTTAATCAAGGTTTGGGAACATTTGGTCTCCCAAATATTTGATAATAGTCAAATCCCATCCTCCCGACCCTGCTTGACCAACAGTCAAGTATGATGTGACTTGATTTCAACAACATTTGAAAGACCAAAATGTGCCTGCCTTTGATTGAAACAATTTTACTCTTACCAGGGCAACATAGTCCCCACTGTAAAATGTTGTCAGTGACATCTCTTACTTATTTAGAAAGCATTTTTATTTCTCCTTCTACCCTTGAGACTTTCCAAAACTATGGCCTTTGCTCTTAAGATTAAACATGAGCTGGTTCTTTATGGTCTCTGAATGCACACAAATGGATTATCCTGCGCAGAGGTCCTTGGAAACTTCTAGAGCTTCTACACATGTTTGCTAGGACCTCCCTCCCAATGCCCATGTTCTGCCCATGGCACAGACTGCCTCAGTTCCTTTTTTGCTGCTGCTGCAGCTGCATTTCAGCAACAGAGCTCCATTCGCTTTTCTAAAATAAAAATAAGAAATTTTGAATCTCATTCTCGAAACTTCCCTCCTTCTAACAGTGATTTTTTTAAAAAAGAGAGAGAGAGAAGAGGGGAAGAAGACAAAGAGATTCCCCCCTTCTTCTCCTCAGACATTTTATGGCCTTTTTGGGCCTTCCAAGCACTTCCAGGTGCCCTTCCAAGCACTGTATGTCCTGTCCAAATAAAATAATTTTCACATGAGCTTTCTTTACATGTCAAATTGCTATGGGACATTCAAGAAAAACTGTCCCTTTTAGGGTTTCCAAAAAGGGCTCTCCGCTGGTAGAGGCAGAAGTGCTGATATTGGCAGCAGAGTTTTAGTCTGTGAGCTCGAGTCTTCCTGGAAGTGCAGCCCAGAGAAATTAAGTCAATTGCTAGATCTCATTTGGACCTGGAAGTTTCCTAAATCCAAAATGGGGAAAAAAGGGAAAGGGGAGAAAATGGTTTCTGAGTTGTCTAGCTGTTACAGTGATGCAAAATTGGTTCATATATTACAGTGCAGGAAAGCTTTTGACACTCTAGGTTTGGACTTGAACTTCCAGAGGCCTCAGCCAGTAAGTTCAGTGGTGAGGGACTATAGGAGCTGTGGTCCAAAAGCAGTCCAACCCAAATATCTTAGATGGATGGAGTACACCAGAATTCGTCCCTTCTGACTCTTGCCTTGGGCTGAGACCCAGGAGCTTCTTGGGCCAAAGGAAATGTGGAGTCTTGCCAGGAACTCCACTGTCATAGACAGGCTTCCCAATAAATAATTAGCACACTAGTTAATTGACTAGTTGCTTCCAAGTGACAATTTTATTACACACTTGTCCTGCTGTATCCCTGGCATTTTTGTAGTTGGGAGGTTCCAAACTGTATGCGCCACTTTCTTTGTTGGGGGACTTGCTGTTTTTTAATATATGGCGTACCTTTTTGAGCCCGAGTGCCCAAACTGGGGTAAAAAACACAACAACCCAGTGGGCATCAGCAGCATTGGAAGTGGCGGTGGCAGAACCGGAAGTGGCAGTGGAAGGGGAAATCCCAGGCACGGAGGTGCCTCAGGACCCCACTCCATATTGGCTGCCAGGGCGAGTTGCTACGGATCCTGGCCAGCTATCTGTTGAAGCGCCAGCACCGTGGGTGCAGCCTCCTCCTCAAATTTGGCTGCTGGGGGGAAGTAGCGATCCAGCAACTTACGGCTCACGTGCCCACAGAGAGGGCTCTGCGTGCCAGCTGTGGCGCACATGCCATAGATTCACCATCTCTGACATAGACATTTTATGATTAAAATAATGCCCCAAATCGCATGTGAGTGACATGTACTTTGTGGAATGTTTCTGTATGAAATCTTTATTGTGACAAATTTTGATTGTTAATCAACAGTGTAAAAATCATAGCCACGGTGCCCTTCACCATCATGGTTGGCATAACATGTATGAAGATAAGGATCTAATAAAAGAACAAGATGTGCTGCCTTTTGTGGAAGACTACAGTAATTTTGATATTGTCAAAGCTACCCAGTAAGTCTCTTGAGTAAGATAATTAATTGTTGTTAAGTAATTTCATGTTTTAGCACTCTTCTCAGAGTAATAAATGTGTTAGCTTATCACCAGATTTGTTATTGTACCTCTCAGTGACACCTTTAGCTGAAAGTCCAGAGTATGCCAAATTACCTTATCTATTTGCAGATCATCCGTTTTCATTTTATATGCTCAAATTTGACATGTGACTTTTTATTTTAAATATTTATTTGGTATTATAGCTAATAAAACTATATCTGCTGAGCATTTGCAGCTTATAAACAGTTACTGAAACTTAACCTCAGCAGAAAAGAAGTTGTGTATGTATCCTATTGCCTATCCAATAACATCTAAAATTCATTCTCAAAACACACTACTTATTTTTAAAAGCATTGCAGTTAACATAAACTTAATTAACGCATGTATGATTAAAATTATAGATGAGCATCAGAAATGTGTTCACGTCCATAAGCAGAGGAGTGCTGCGCCAAAGCAGAATGAGATTCAGCAGTTTGTGATCTAAGTATACAGCAGTGTAGCCCACATTAAATAAACAGGTGATATTATGAAGTAAAAGCTGAGCTCTCTGGTAAGGCAGGCATACGGAAATTAATTGGATTTCAGAGGTAGGAAACCTTGGGTATGCTAATAGACAAAGAAAATGCTGTTAAAAACATTGATGATGATCATATCATTCCATTGTTCCACTGTTTGGCTGTAATATTTTGTTATACCCCATTGCTATTCATGCTCATCTTTGCCTTATTTCAGATACGGCCTGTTGGAACGATGTCAGGAGTTAATAGAAGCAGGTTATGATGTAAGACAACCAGACAAAGAAAATGTAACTCTTCTTCACTGGGCAGCAATCAATAACCGTTTGGATCTTGTAAAGTAAGGTCTTGTCAGTATTTGCATTTGTGAGTGTAAAGAAATGAAATGATTTTATTATATGTCATCTATTGTTGATAATTAATTTTGTAAATTTTATGCAAAATAAATTTAGCAGAATACATTATTTCATTTTGGAAATACCCCTGTCCATATTATGCATAGGTTCTGCTGGTGAAACTTCATTGTATTACACCTTATATTTGTTACTATTACCTTTCTAAGACCTTAGGCCATATGTATTTATGACAAGTAGTGTCGAAAGCATTAGTTTTCAGTAACTTCCCGTATACCATTCCAGAAATTTGTGCTAGGAAAAGGGCAGGCGCCTAAAAGCCTCTTGCATGGGACAAAGGCAGTTCAGTAGGTACTCTTTGTGAGAGTGTGGATATAATAGCTAGAAGAACCTTTCATAATCAAAGGACAATTTAGTTTTCACATAAAACATTTGTCATAAGTAAATCTCTTTTGCTTTCACAGTGTATTTAGTCTCTAAATGTCCTCAGAGTGGGGTGGAAGTGCTAATACAATTAATATTCAGTGTTTATGATGTTCTGATAATATGCTACATACGTATTACAGTACTGCATGTGTAATTTTTTTAGTATGAAAATTACATGCCCAACTGGCAGGCATTTTGCAACAAAAGTAGGAACAGGGTTTTTTTTTCCTTGAGCTTCACCCATTTAAGGTGCAGCCTAATCTTGATGTTTTTCACTTTACAGCTCCCCAATTGGAGTGGGTAGATGAGGCTGTGCAACCTGCTGCTAAAAAAGTTGAGAGGAAAGGCTATTAATTTTAAAAAAATGAGAAATTAAGTTGCCGGGTTCAACTTTGTTTCATTCTGGAAATTAATGGTTTTAGATCTTTGCTCTGATTTAGAAATTTATACTAGAGCCAATAATGGGCTCCTATTAAGTCTTGACAAGGACAAGGTTTAGATACTCATTTTATTCTTGATACTAAATCTTATCTTATTTCTCTGAGAGGAAATGATATTTAGTGAGGAGACTCATTCTTTTTGGAACTTGTGAGCTGGATCTAAAGGGACTCTTCTGTTAGAGCTGCAACAAAATCTAGTAGCACTGTAGTTTGAAAAGTTACAAAAAATGAAATTTAGTCTTCGAGGTTTCACTATACTCTTTGTTGAAGTTTCACAGACCAACACTGCTACCTCTTGGAAACAGTGACTAGAGATTAATGTAAAGCTTCTTGTAGCCACAGAAGGGTTGTTTTTGACTTCATGAAGGACAGTTGCATCAGCAGAATTACTGCAAATTTAGAAATGTTTCTCCATTTACAAAGGCTCTTGAGAAGTGTCTAAAAGTCTTATACAAAATCATTATCCTTCCCTAGCCTGGTGCTCTCCTTCCTTAGCCATCTTTTGGGGCTAAATTGCTGACATACAGTGGTGCCTCGCTTGACGAGGATAATTCGTTCCGTTCAAATCGCTGTTAAGTGAAATCCTCGTCAAGCGAAATGAAAAAGCCCATTGAAATGCATTGAAAACCGTTTCAATGTGTTCCAATGGGTGAAATACCTCAGCGGCCGGCGAAGATCCTCCATAGGGCGGCCATTTTCGTGCCTGTAAAGTGAGGAATCCATCCTAAAACACAGCGGGGAGCCATTTTAAACAGCGGGTGACCATTTTGAAGACCCAACGATCAGCTGTAAAGATCGTCGTTAAGCGAAAAATCAGTTCCGGAAGCAGGGAACTGATTGTCGTTAAGTGATTTTTGCCTATTAAAACATTGTTTTGCGATTGCAAAAGCGATCGCAAAAACTTCATCATCAAGCGATTTCCTCGTCTAACGAGGTAATCTTCAAACGAGGCACCACTGTATAACTCTTTTGTCTGAGTGTATTATTATAAATAATCTTATCACTTAAAAAATACTGCAGTAGACAGACATTTCGTCATGAATTTATTTTCAGAACAAGTGTTTGTCTCAAATGAGGATAACTTTGTCTCCCACCTTAAAATTCCTCAGTCAGGCATTAGAATAACTCTCTTCTCTCAACATTCACTCATCATTTATTTATAATATGGCTTTTTCTTAATTTTTCTATAGGTTCTTTATTTCCAAAGGTGCCATTGTGGATCAACTAGGAGGGGATTTAAATTCAACTCCACTTCATTGGGCTATTAGGTACAGATTTTAGCAATTGCAAATCATCCTTTTGACTGCTTGTGTGTGTACATACACGGTTTCTTCTGTGCTGCTGTGATGAGTTAAGATGGAACATAATTTTGGTATTATGAAAAGAAGTTTGCTAAAATGTGTAGCTTTCATGTGTAAATCCAAGTACTTATTTGATGACATTCTAGCAACTGAGATTCTGGACTAAGTCCTTAGATGTGTGAACAAAAATGGGAAACTTGCGTGTTGTCTACTATACTTACTTATTATGTTGAAAGGCAAATTAGAGCTATGAAAGGCCTCATAGCTCCCAAGTCAATCTCCAGTTCTCTTACACTGCAACCATTTGGTCAGAAACTCCTGGTAGGCCACAACTACATACCACATCTTTATGTATGGCAAAGAAATTGATATAATTTATAAGCATATCCTGAGTGTTTAAAAAAACAGGGTGAAAAATAATAATAATTGAATGCTGTCAAGTCCATTCTGACTCACAGCGATCCTTTTCAAGGTAGAGAATACACAGAAATGATTTACCCTTCCCTTCTTCTGGGGTGCCCTGGGACTGTGCAGCATGCCCATGGCTGGCTTTCTTTCCAGGAGGCACAGTGGGGAATTGTACTTTCAAAATCTAGCTCTGTAGTCAGTTACATAAACTACTGAGCTATCCAGCCAGCTTGGGTAAAAATCTTGTTTGAATTAAAATAAGCCTGATCTGCCTCTCTGTGTGTAAGAATTTGTCATTGCACTGTGTTATCAACAAAAAGTTGATTCCAGTTGATGAGATATTTGAATAGTTTTCTGAGCTCAGAAACTAGAGAAATGAAGGTGCCATTGCCCTCATGTCCTAGCTGTAAGTTTCCCATAGACTAGTAGTCGGCAACAATGAAGGACAGGCCTTTCTTGCATTCTTATAAAGTACAGTGGTGCCTCGCTAGACAATTACCCCGCATGACAGTTTTTTAGCTAGACATTGACTTTTTGCGACCGTTATAGCGATTCACAAAACAGTGATTCCTATGGGGGAATTTCGCTGGACAATGTTTGGTCCTTGCTTCGCAAACCAATTTTCGCAAACGATTTTGACAGCTCCCTCCGCACTCGCAAAATGGGTGTTTTCGGGATCTAAACTTCGCAAGACAGATATTTAAACAGCCGATCGGTGGTTCGCAAAGCAGCTTTCCTATGGCCAATCTTCGCTAGACAACGGCGATTCTTCTCCATTGGAACGTATTAAACAGGTTTCAGTGCATTCCAATGGGGAAGTGCTTTTCGCTAGACAATGATTTCGCTAAACAGCAGTTTCAGTGGAACGGATTATCATCGTCTAGCGAGGCACCACTGTAATTAACTCTTAATCATGAACTCTCTTCGAATACATATTTGTTTTTCTCTGTACTCATGTCCATCACATTAATTCCTTCATTCTTTTATTTCATGTTCTCAAGAAAAAGTGAACTATTCAGTAAAGAAGAATAAACAAGACATTTATCCAATTTTAATTTCTTGCTCTGTTTTAAAATGTTGATATAATTGCATACAATTTTCCAAATTGGTACAGTAATTGTTTGTTAGCTTTATACATTAGTATCCCCCTACCAGGTTGTGCCACTTCCATCATAGGAACATCTCGTTTGTAGTTTTGTGTTTACCTTTAGCACACCATCTTAAATTAGAATTTTAAAGCTGTAGACAAAAATAAAATTTTATATATTTTACATAAATAGTGTTCTTAAAAAATAAAATCTTCTGTCTTTTTCCAGGCAGGGACATTTATCTATGGTCATATTGTTATTAAAATTTGGAGCAGACCCAGCTCTTATTGATGGTGAAGGATATAGCAGCCTGCATTTAGCTGTACTGTTTCAACACATGCCAGTCATAGCTTACCTCATATCAAAGGGTCAGGTATGTTTTTAATCAGTTATTTTCTAATGATAATTCAACTTGTATGCTATTATATTACCTTATAGATGAGAGATCATATTTAGATTCTCTTATGTGTACTGTTACACTGTTATGTGTACTGTTTTCCATAGTTACATAAGTAAAAGTAGTGATATTATTGTCAAAATAGGCCTTTGGTTGAGTCCATTTGTAAGAAAGTTCATCTTTGGCCGGGGGAGCACTTGTGGTAAAGGCGGGAAAAAGGCACGGAGGCTCTTCGAAAGTTCTAACATTAACATTTTTATTGGTAACATTTCTCAACTGGCCAGAATCAAATGGATCCTGCAAACATTCGTCCAATAACAGTTTGTACTTTTTGGATTTAACAACTGGAGGATATTCGAGCTCTCCTAAAAGGGAGCCGGTCCAAAACGTTCCCAATCTGTCAAGGGGCGGAGGGGAGCACTCCGAACAGCGCATACCATCTCGCAGCACGGATGCCTGGCCCAATCCCCTTCTGGGAGTTTCTGTTGGAAGGAAGGTCCAGGCCGGATTACCCTCCTCCCTCCAGGGTGGTTCCTGGGGTATACAACAACGGTCCATTCCAGAGGGTCATAGCCCCTACCTTTCCCTCCTGATAATATAGGATCCAGCAATAAACCTCCACCTGAAGCAAGGTTGGGGAATGCCTCAGTCATTCCCTGCAAAGGTACTTGTCCGAGAATGGGCTCCGTCTGTACCCCTCGATGTACCTTCCCTTCCACCTCCGAATCTGACCAAAGTCTAAAAGTACGCACGCTTTTTTCCCCACTTATCTCCTCCCACACAATGAGGTCACGTTCCTCCCCCTCCTCATCAGCCAGACAGACTTCGGCAGGTTTCACCTCAACTCCTTCTGCCTCCTCTATCTCTATCAGAACCCCTTCTGCACACCCACTCTCTTCTACTGTCTCTTTCTTCTGGGAGGACGGCACACTCCTCTTCTCACGTTCACACCATTTAATCTTCCAGCTGTCTGTTGAAATCCAGTTACAAACTATATTGGTATACCAGCTTTAGAGGAGTCTGGTACAATTCATCAAGCTCCTGGCCTTTTTATTAGTTCCTAGCACCTTATAGTTTTGCTTGTAATCTATTAACTATTCATAACAACAGCAGCAATGTCAACATCAGCTAGGAGCCAAAAGGAAAGGATCACTTTAGTCTTCTATACTTTGATATGGAAGACTATGGATGGATGGTAACCACTGCTATCAGCCATAGCCCTCAAATGGGCTAAACAGCAGAATACCATCAAATAATACCTTCCTCAAAAAGGTATTAAGGCCCTCAATCACAGGTAGTTTTTAGATGGCCAGAGATTCTTAACAATTTCTGTCTGAAAGTTAGATTAAAAATCTGAAATGTATGAAGTATGTGTGCTGGTTGTATCTCAAAGATTGTGCATAAAAGATATGGGGTTACAGACATTTTCCCAAAACTTTGATACTCACTACTATGGATAATAGTTGTGTCGTACTTGATGTCAACGATAACATCATAAGATTCAGATAATAAAATAAAGACCTGGTTGAAGATAACAGATTGACATAATTCATTGCCACATATGTTGAAAATGGATTGGAAATACAGAAATTTCAAGCATTTATTTATTTATCTATCTCCCTATGTATCTGTTTGTTTGTTTATTTACCCTCCATTTGGCAGCCACGGCCACTTTAGCAATATATCTAGCAAAAAGCAGCAAACGTCTTGGGTTCAATTATGTTTTCACATAAATGTTCCATATAATAGAAGATAGCTATTTAGGTATTTTAGTGAATCTTTTCAATTAAATGTGCAGAATAGGAGTCAGTTCTGAAATACAGCTGAGATCATTCTTTATTACATCACCCCAAAAGGAAAATGTAGAACAGTGGTCCCCAACCTGGGGCCTCCAAATGTTCTTGGACTATAACTCCCAGAATCCTTCACTACCACCTCTGCTTGCCAGGATTTCTGGGAGTCGAAGCCCAAGAACATCTGGAGAGCCAAGGTTGATGACCACTTTTGTAGAATGATAAGCTTTATGAGCCACTTGGCTAACATTTTGTTAAAGATAAAAGAAAACAATTTGTAGGAAATACAGAGAAGGGACAGTGCTTTGGATTCAGAGGAGAATTTGGAACCAAGAAAGCACTAATCTGCCTTCATATTACTTGAGAGGGGATGCCATTCTGTGAATGTTGATATGCATATGTACTTTACTGACTGTGAGAAAGTCTTTGACAAAGTCCAGTAGGACATGCTAATGGAGTTACTGGTACCATATTTTTCCATGTATAAAATGACACATTTTCTTAAAATCATTAGAGGGAAAAATTGAATGTCATTTTGTACACAGAAGGAGGCGGAGGCAAAGGAGCAGCCTCTCGTTGTTGTCCATTGACTGCTGCCGCCACCTGATTGCCTCCTCCAGCACCACTTGCAGGTTCCCTTTGGGCAGGGGACAAGGTGGCGACGTGAGCTGGAGGTGAGCCCTGGCAGGAGGAGGAGAAGATGACCGGACGGCAGCAGCAGAAATCAATGGGCAGCAGCGAGAGGTGGCTGAGTGTGGCTGCTCCTTTGCCTCCATCTTCACCTCCTCTTCCTCCTGCTCCTGCCTCCTCGCCTGGATTGCTGCCTCCAGCACCACTCACGGCTCCCTTTAGGCAGGGGACAAAGTGGTGATGTGACTGGGCGCCGGAGGCAGTAAGAGCAGAAGACGGAGGCGGAGCCGCCCCTCGCGGCTGCCCATTGACTGCTCCTCCACGTGTGTCAAGGGACAAAATTAGGGGGTCGTATACATTGGAGGGTCATAAACATGGAAAAATACGGTAAATATGTGTAAATATCTTCAATGGATATTTGTATAAATAGAAATTTGTACTGACAAAAAAAGGTAGCAGTTAAAGTTGAAAGTCAGATGACAAAGGACATAGAGATACATATGAAGAAGTGTACTACAAGCATTTTTACACTCAAGACCTCTTTTTTTAGTTTGTTGTTCCACAACATCTTAAAAATTCTCATACTGTTTCAGATGACAGCATAATTATTGACAGAGGGTTTCAGTAACATCTGATAGACAGAAAAGTCAGGTAACAAAGGTTATACAAAACATACGGTGAAGCAAATAACGAACACAACATTAAAACAAGCATTAAGAAAGCCAAGTTTGTAAGGTAAAGGTAAAGGTTCCCCTTGACAATTTTTGTCCAGTCGTATTCGACTCTAGGGGGCGGTGCTCATCCCCGTTTCCGAGCCATAGAGCCAACGTTTGTCTGAAGACAATCTTCCGTGTTCACATGGCCAGTGCGACTTAGACACGGAATGCTGTTACCTTCCCACCGAGGTGGTCCCTATTTATCTACTTGCATTTGCATGCTTTCGAACTGCTAGGTTGGCGGGAGCAGGGACAAGCGATGGGAGCTCACTCCGTCGCGTGGATTCGATCTTACGACTGCTTGGTCTTCTGACCCTGCAGCACAGGCTTCTGCGGTTTGGTCTTCTGACCCTGCAGCCAAGTTTGTAGTGATCAGTAAAAATCAAGCAGCTCAAGAAATTGAATTAGAGATTCAAAATAATACTGTAGATTGTCTTGAAAAATAGAAGTTCTTGAAAATGTAGTTGAATGAACAGTGAGATCATAGACATGCAATAAAATCACAATAGAGATGGCCTTGAACAGCTTCCTATGAATGATAAGTGTAGTGCACGAAGGAAACTTAGAATGTTATTGAGATGTAGCTGTAATGAAATACAGAACCTTCATTTTCTTAATTGTTAAATGTCTTCTCATATCTAGAGTGTTGATACAACTGATCGCAATGGACAAACCCCTCTAATGTTGTCAGCCCACAAAGTAATTGGGTGAGTAGCTATAATAATTAATGAACAGTGCAGTCCTTTCAGTGAGATATGTGCCTGAACAGGTATACATATAATTGCAAATTTAAGCCTGCTGTATTTTTTAAAGCTGCTGAACAAATGTTTCAGGGAGAAATAGCCAGTGACATATTTGTTACCAAAGCAACTGTTCACAGCTGATTGCTAAAATCCTGAGAGCAGTGTTTATAATGAAAAATATGACAGCACATTAGATGGATAGCTTTTGTGAGATCAGTACACCTATATTCAGCAATTATTTCTCTATTGCAGGTGAGATCTTTCTGGTAAGAGCGTAATTTAATGATTTTTCCTTTCAGTAATTTTATTTTTTATACAAGGCTTATTATTTGGCCTGTCACATGCAAAGTCTTCTTTAATGGAGGTACATGTTCAATTCTAAGTTAAATTACAGTGCTAGCTGTGTAAGAAACTTCAACATTAGGTATATCTTATGTGAGAATTTTAATATTTCTAGCAAAAGTCTTTTAGTTATATCACATTTTTCTAAAGAAATATTTTTCCTTTAAGTTGTGTATCATCTTTCAGGTTTTTTCCAGATAACAACTGTAGTATTTGTATGACAGACCCTATTCTTAAAACTGCTGTTTAGTTCAAATAGCTTCATAATTTAAATTGTGCAACACTCTGATACAAATAAAGAAAGAATATATAATGAAAAGAATAGTTTCAGTAGACAAAATTACCTGTCAGAGATGTATGGAAGTACAATCATGTAAGAATATTAGGGCAAATGAGTACAGTGGGAGCTGTGTTAATTACTATTGCACCCTGGTCTTTTAAATGAATAATGAATCTTCAGTAAACAATTACAAAAGATATTTCTTTTCTTTGAGCAGTGTAATTGGTTCAGTGTTGATTCACTGTATACAGTGTTTAGATCTCTCTGCATGCCTAAATATATTGTGTGTAGGAGTAGCATTCCAGGGATGTGCCATTTTTTGGACTCCAACTTCCATAATTCCAAGAATTCCTGAGACAAAATTCTGAGATTTCCAACAGGCCCACGCCTACATTCCACCCACTATCACCAGGGCCTTTCCCCCAGTCTGCATGATTTTCTCAGGCCTTAATGTACAAAAAAATGGAAGTTGCCACAGGGCTTCCTGGGAGCAGTTGTTCTTTGTAGAAGAGCCTAAGGGGCAGTGAGACTATCACTGTGGCAACTTCCCTTTCTATACATTACCAACAGGAAGGAAGGCCCAAGACAGCCATGCAGCGTGGGAGATGGGCAGTGGTGCAGGTGAGTCAAATTTAGATGTCTGCAGGTGTAAGTTTGTGAGCTGGAGAATTCTAGGAATTGGAATCTGGGAATTCCGTTATACTAGACAAATGTACAGGTATATTTATAAATATAATTGGCAGTAGGTTTATATGATGAATAGGCTATACCCTAGAATCTACCTTTTCCTTCCTAGCATTTAGCTTTGTTACTTGAATAAAACGCTTTTGTATGTTCAGAACCAAACTCTCATTATTATTTAATTTATGAGTATCTTGGAAGATATTAAGTAATCTACAAATAGAAACACTACACCCTTGTCATGCAAGTGTGTGCAATACCACATATTATAGAAGGAAAAGAAACCTCACTCAGCATCTAAATGTAAAATAAATAGCAGCACGAGGCAAGAAAAGTGGCTAAGGCACAGTAAAAAAAGACAACACCAAATAATTGTAAAAGTTTTGAGGGTGATTGTCCTTTAGGCTAAAGCCTCTCCTAGTGTTACTAAAGATCAGTGGCTTGGTTTAAGGTGAAGTTACCAGAGAGGCAACTAGGGAGTGCATGACCTGCTAGTGTGAAAATTAGTGGAATGGTCATTGCTTCCTCTGAATAGTACATTGCATAATCCAAAAAAACCACAAGTGGCACATTTCTAGCTCTACAGATCAAAAGATACTGAACAATTATTCTGTCTTGTCCTCCTATATGATTTTTTTTTGTAGAAAGAAAAAAGATGTCAGAATAAGTTGAAAAAATAGGAAGGTTACAAGTGAAAGAAGACATCATTTGGACCCCTCTGTAAAATTCTAATAATGAGGCAGAGCATTGGTATTATTAAACTGCCATCTGGATTCAATCCATGACCTTTCCAGTTTAAAAGAATATCAAGAAATAGGTGATAAGACAAATCTGTGCTTGAGACCTTGGGAGCAAGGTCACAGTAGATAATGGTGGGTTACAAGAACAGATAGTTTGACCTGATATAAGACATTTCCTATTTTTCTAAAAAAATAAAATCAGATAGGAACAAGAGGTAGCTGTCATTCTAGCAGTGGTTTTAGTGCTATGTCTAAATAAGTTCACCTTCCCTACTTCAGCATAGCTCCACTGTACTTTAAAAAAGGAAAAGGGGTGTGTGGAAGTATCAGCAGGTGAAATGAATTTCCTGTGTCTGGAATAAACATTCAGAAAAATTGGTTCTGAGTGTTTTATTTTAGATATTTAAATGTTCTAGTTCTGAGCAAATAAAAAAAAAGAGTGTGGGACTTCAAAATATATTATACTTTAATGAACCTTTTGGATACGTTTGTATTTGCTATAAAAAGCTAACATGATTACCACTCTGCAATTTTTCCTAGATACTACCATGCTAGGATTACTATTAACAATGATTTTCAATATGATTTTTTAAAAAGTGTGATACTTGCTCTTTACTAGCTTGTTATGTGTCCTTATTTTCTTCAAGGATGGAACCTACTCGTTTTCTATTAAAATTTAATCCCTCTATCAGAGCTGTTGACAATGTAGAGAAGAATACTGCATTGCACTGGGCCATTCTCGCAGGAAATGTTAATGCTGTAGATTTATTACTAGAAGCTGGGTCTAGTCTGGACATCAAAAATGTCAAGGTATGATTTGGTTTTTATCATTAAAGTTCTTCCTTGGCTATTATAATTGTAGGTAAATTTTTAGAGTTTAAGTTTAGGACTTCTCTTTCCAACTGCAGCAAAAAAAGGTTTTGCTTTCTGTTTCAGAATCCTAAATCAGAAAAGTTTGTTCCCTGTATGGTGCCGGATTATCTACAAAAACATTTTAGTACTGTTACAAAGATGAAAGGCAAATCAGATGCATTTGAGTGTTGATGTTATACAGTGGCTAAGAAACCGAACCAGGCAGTCCCAGGTTCACCGTTAACTTTTCAAATGCCTTTAGATAGTGCATAATTTCTTCACCTTAGTACGTACAGTGGGGTCTTGACTTGAGAACTTAATCCGTATTGGAAGGTGATTCTCAAGTCAAAAAGTTCTCAGGTCAAATCTGCATTTCCCATAGGAATGCATTAAAAACCATTTGATCCATATCTGCTCTTTTCCGTCCGTACAAACTAATGGGAAGCTGCTATTCCGCCTTCGACCACTAGAGGGGGATATTTTGTTTCTTTTTTTCTTAGGTCAAGAAAAGTTCAGGGAAGGCAGGGAAAATACAGTCCAGGCAATACCAGGCAGTCTGAAGACTGTCTCCCAATCCACTCTCTAAACGCTGGGAGGAGTGAGGAAGCAGACAGGCACCCTTTTCACTGGCCAACAGTTAACTGAAAGTTCACATTTTGCACTTTCCCTGCCTCCCACGTGGGTTTTTTTCAGTTCTTAACTCAAATCTAAGTAAGTCAAGTCAATATTTTCCTATGAGAGTGGTTCTTAAGTCAAAATGTTCTTAACTCGAGCCGTTCTTAAGTCAAGACCCCACTGTATGTGCAGTATTGGATAGTAAAGATCCTACCTTGCAGAGTTGCAGACATAATGTTCAAAATGCTATGTAAATATTGGCTGGGATCCATCTGTGGTAAGTTCTGTGTACCCAGGAGGCCTCACACTCTCCATGCTGCAAACTACTTCTCAGTTTCAAATCTCAAGTTGTGATATGATATGGTGATATACTATTTCAAAGAAAAATGTCAGCATGCCCAAAGCCTTAGGCACCTCTCTTTGACTGGTGCCTGTTAGTTATTAATATTATTATTGCTTCAAGAAATAGTGTGAGGCAAAATATTTATTTATTTAAAATATTTTTACCCTGCTTTTCTCCTTGAAAAGGACCCAAGGCAACTTACAACATTGAAAGACAATATTTAAAGCTGAAAACAATGAGTAGACAGCGATGGATAACAACATTAAATATTTAAAGCTAAGAACAAAGTATAAAGAGTCATCTTACATTACCCTGTTTCCCTGAAAATAAGACCTAACCTGAAAATAAGTCCTAGTATGAGTTTTCAGGATGCTGGTAATATAAGCTCTACCCCAAAAATAAGCCCGGGTTAAGTGAAACCCCGCCCTCCACCACTGTGCTACATTGTGCAGCAACCAGAAGAAGATGACATGACTGTAAAATAAATCATCCCCTGAAAATAAGCCCTAATGCATTTTTGAGCAAAAATTAATATAAGACACAGTCTTATTTTCAGGAAAACATGGTGTTAAAAGGCAATATTAAAGATGAGAACAATAAATACAAATATATTAAAAATGCCACTCTGAGAAATGAAAAACACAAAAATGGAAAACAGAAGTGGCACTAAAAACCTTGTCAAAGCAATCCATCTAAAAAAAATCACCAACAGGTAGCTTGTTGCTGAGGCAGACCTGGGCAAAGTGTGGCCCGGAGGCCACATATGGCCCGAGAGCCGCTCCTGTCCGGCCCGCCCGTCGCCGCTCAATGAGTCGGAGCTCCGGCTCCGGTCACCCAGCACAGCAGTAAGCAAAAGTCGTGAGATCTGACGTTGGGATCTCACGAGTTTTGACTGTTACTCTTGAGCTGCAGGCTGTGGAGCCTGCAGCTCAAGAGGCCGGAAGCGATCCTTGCGCAGGTGATGTGATAACGCATCACGTCGCCTGCGCGGGATAGAAGACAGTTGGAGAGGAAGGCCGCGGGGGGACAGAGGACAGGTGAGTTAGCTCAGTGTCAGGGTTTTTGCTCACATTGTTAACTCCCTAAAAAGTTTAGGGAGTTAAATATGTCAGCCTTGTAATTCGTTCACCGCAGGGCCTCACCCAATGGGGGCCTATTACTACCCACCACCACCCCGCACACAGTTCAGATTTTTCATGTGGCCCCCTATAGATATTACCCATCCCTGTACTCAGGGAAGGCTTGCATGAAGAGAAAGGTTTTTGCCTGCTTGCAGAAGGACAGCAAAGACAGGACCGGTCTGTCCTCCTGTGGGTGGGAGTTCCAGAGTCTGGGAACAGAGAAGGCCTCCGTCCTGTGTCTCCATCAGACACACCTATGAAAGTAGCAGACCAAAACAAAGACCTCACTTGATGTTAACACTTGAGCAGGAGATAGCTTGGACCCAGACCATTTAGGGCTTTATAGGTTAAAACCAGCACGTTGAATTGTGCCCAGAAACTAATCAGCAGCCAGTGGAGCTGCTGTAACAGAGGGGCTGTGTAATCCCTGCAATGAGCTTCATTCATCTGAATGGCCTTTTCTCTTTGAAAAAAAAATGCAAAGTTGTAGAAATGTGGGTTTCATTATGGGAAGTATTTTCTGTACTGAATAGTGATTATCTTTTGTTGTGGGGGAGGGAAGCTGTTATTAGAATAGATGGATTACTTTGTATTTGCAGAGGTGACCTTTGTATGTCATCCTTAAATGAATGCCTGAGTTTGTGATTTAAAATGGGATAGCTGGATGACTGTAGGATTATGACATCAATAATTTAATGAAGTGCAACATCTTACACCTTCAACCTAAATACATGTGATTATTTAAAAAGCACATGAAAAAGCCTGGGCTTTTACTGTTCCTGTTGTATGTTATATTGCAGATACAGTAGATCAAACATTCTCTTGTTTGAGACTCCAAGTACATCCCTTGAGGTTGTAATGCTACATCATTCTAACTTTGCTTGGAGATATGACTACATGGCTTACAGAGGGTGCAATTATTCAAATCAATTTATAATTAGTCGACCAGTTTGTCATAATTGGGTTCATTTGCGTACAGATAATATATCTGTTCATCTACTTCCTATCCCCAAGTTTGAAACATTACAAGCTTAACTTGCAACAAAAATCTGACATGTTTTGCAACATTTCGTTAGAATAGTCTCATCCTAAGTACATGACTACATAACTACTGTTTTTTCTTAATGTGTCTTGGTATTGAAGTCATTTGTTTGTTTGTTTGTTTGTTTGTTTGTTTGTTTGTTTGTTTGTTTGTTTGTTTATTTATTTATTTATTTATTTAAGGGAGAAAGACCACTTGATCTTGCACATCAAACTAAAAATCGTGTCATTATTCACTTGCTTTCTGAAGAAGAAAAAGTGAGGGACAGAAAAACATCAAGGTTTATGAAGATTCTTGAAAAAAATGAGGTACCCTACACTCAAACAAATCTTGGCACACAACATTGTCCTTGTTTTGAAACTATATTTGAGTTAGAAAACAGAGTGCAGAAACTTAACTTTGAAGAAAGCAAGGGAAAAGGTTAGATAGTAGAGAAAATGTTACATACTTGTTGTTAGTAAGGAAAAAAATGGGACAGCCAGCAGATTACAGAGGTGAAGTGTTCATTAGGTTCAGGTCCTGTGATGGTGTGAGTACCTTTGTTGTTTTATGCAATGAAGATGTTTCCAACATATGGCAACTCTATGATATAGTGATTTTGGAAAAGTCCTATAATTAATTCAAGGCCATAGCTTCCTTCATTGAATCAATCTAATGCTATGCCTGCCTTTTTTCCCTGTGGTCTTCAGCTTTTCCCAACATTGTTGTCTTTTCCAGTGAGTCTTATCTTCTCATTATATTCCTAAAACATAGCACTCAGCTTAGTTCTTTTTCCTTCTCTAGAGAGTTCAGGATTGATTTGAAGTAACACCCACTTATTTGTCTTTCTGGCAGACTGTGATGTCTGTAAAATTCTCCAACACCCAGCACTTTTCAAATGAACCAACATTTTCACGTCAGCTTTCTTCATTGTCTACCTTTCACATCCATGCATATTAATTAGAAATACTATGTTGTGGCTTATCTTGATCTTGTTCTCCAGTGACACATTTTTACTCTGAAAGATCTTTCCTGGTATATTCATAGCTGCCGTTTCAATCTGTCTCTGATTTATTCACTGTCTTCATTTGGATTGATGATTCAGCAAGATACAATCTTTAAGTATTTCAGTTTCTTCATTGTCACTATCGAAGTTGTTTAACTCTTGTGTAGTTATGATTTTTGTCTTAATGTTCAATTGTGATCTTGCTTTTACATGCCTTCTGCCTTCTTCAGCAGCTGTTACAAGTCACTGCTGCCTTCTACCAGTAATATGGTGTTGTCTGGTTATCTTAAATTATTTATGTTTCTTCCATCAGTTTTCACTCCTCCTTCATCTGAGTCTAACTCTGTTTTTCATGCAGTATGTTACATCTATAGTTGAATAGATAAGGTGATAAAACGTAGCCTTGTTTGATACCTTTGGCAATGGAAACTATGTATTCTATGCCACCATATTATGTAGACTCTTATCCAGAATATAGGTTGGTCTAAAGTCACCAATTAGGCACAGTTGACTTTATTGTAATTTTTTATATTAACAGTTCATGATCTGTTTCACAGCCAAGTCCTGTGAAACAGGATCTTCTTTTGCCAAAGAATGTAAGGAGAATATAGCTTTTCTATCTTCAAAAGCCAATTATAGAGTCTGTAGCCAGTAGTATTAATAGAAGTGAACAATTATTTTATTTTATTCCACTTGCCACAATTTTTCTTAAACAGGCTTACAAAACAGTTTAAAAACAATAGAAAATTAAAATAGCCCCTTTCTCAAGTCCCTATGAAACAAGTCTCTTGACAGTGACGGGGACCATCAGAAAGGCCTCTGAAGTAGATCTGAAAGCCCAAGGGGCCTTGTATGGAAGAATACATTATTTCAGATGGCCTGGACGCAAGTGATATAGGCCCATATCGATCATTACTAGCACTTTGAATTGTGCATTTAAACAGACCAGTAACTAATGAAGCTGTTGTAGGAAGATTTACGTGTTCCCTGCAGCTCACCCATGTCAGCAGTCTGGCTGCACTGTTTTGGACCACCTGAAGTTTCTGAACACACTTCAAAGGGAGCCTCATATAGAGCACACTATAATAATCCAATTGGGTTGTAACTAAGACTTGTACCACAGTAGTCAAGTCAGACACCTCTGGGAATGAATACAACCAGCACACCAGCTTTAATTGTGCAGCTCTACTTCTGGCAACCGGAATGCATCCAGGTGTAGGCATGGCACTTCTGTATTTCTTGGACTTCAGTCTGCAGAATTCTGGAGGCTTAGCCAAAAAATTAAACAGAGGTGGTAAATGAAGGCTCTGACAATTATCTCTATGTGTGGAAGAAAGAGGAAGTGGGTAGGAGAGACAAAACTTTGATGGAGCTGCAAGCTATTAGGGGACTGGTAGTTTATTGAGAGACATCTTGTACTGACATTAATGAGTAAAGAGACTACTGGTCTCTTTATCTCTTGCAGCTTCCATGGAGCTTAGCCCCTCCCAACCACTTCCTCTTCCTCCCATGGAGATAATGGCAGCCAGAGCCTTCATTCTCCAGCTGTGTTGAACTGAACACTCCTGTGATGGCCTTAATTTCCTAGCTAAAGGTCCCAGAATTCTGGCAGAGGGAATTCCTGCTGAATTCTGAGGGTTGAAGTTCAAGAAATAACGAAGTCTTATATCTATCCAGGAGCACACCCAAGTGCAAACCTTATTTTTCATAGGAAGTATAATCTTACTTAGCACAAGTTGAATCCCTATTCATGGATCTGACTTTTGACTGGCAAGCTGCACCTCTGCCCTGTCTGGATTAAGTATCAATTTGTTCATCATTATCTATTACTGACTCCAGAGCCTAGTTTATAAGTGAAACAGCTTTTTCATATTCAAATGGAAAGGAGAGAAAGATTTTAGTGTCATCAGCATGTTGGTGCCACCAAATTCCAGCATTTCAGACAGCTTTCCTCAGCAGTTTCATGTATATGTTAAATAGCATAGAAGACAAAAGAGAGCCATGAGGGACAGCACAGACCAACAAATAAGAGTCTCCCAGCACCGTTTTTTGAAGTCAGCCTTCCAGGAAAGACTGGGGCCACTATAAGGCAGTGCCACCAAGTTCCATCCCAGAGAGACATCCCAAAATGATAGCATGGCACGTGGTATCAAAAAGCACCAGGAACTAACAGGGGCACAGTTCCCATGTCCAGTTCCTGACCTAGATCATCAACTATGTTGATCAAAACTTTCCATCACATACTCAGGCCTCAAGTCAGATTAAAATGGATAATCTGTTTTATCCAGGAGTATCTGGAGCTAACAGGCCACCATTTGCTTAAGCATCTTGCCCAAGAACAGAATATTGGAGACTGGCCATTAATTGCTCAGCACAATGGGGTTCAAGGAGGGCTTTTTCAACAATAGTCTTACAACTGCATCTTTTAGGCCAGTGGTCTCCAACCTTGGGCCTCCAGATGTTCTTGGACTTCAACTCCCAGAAATCCTGGCCAGCAGAGGTGGTAGTGAAGGCTTCTGGGAATTGCAGTCAAAGAACATCTGGAGGCCCAAGGTTGGGGACCATTGTTTTAGGCAATAAATTTAGCCATGGGGCCAGACTGTCCACTCACAATGGCAGTTTCCTATCGTGCAGTTCTCCGCAATGGATTAGCCACTCTCTGACCTAGCAGAGAGGCTTGTTATCTGGCCTCCTACCAGGACTGGGTAATCGATTGTGGACAATGGCAGTAGCGATAGGAAGGCACTGTGCAGCTGGTGGCAGCGGCAAAATTGTGAGTGGACAGTCCCTCGTTATTTCCACCCTTGTGATTTCCACCTGGGGGGGTATTCTTATACAAATACCCCCATCTCTAAACAGAAGTATTCACAACTGCTGTTACTCATTCAGCTAAAGCCGGGTAGGTGGGGCTCGTCAGCCATGGAAGGCAGCCCATCTAGGAGAAGGAAAACTCCGATTTCAAACCTCCAATGCCTTGTGGCTATATCCACTCATGTGATGGCAGCTTCCTATTGTGCAGTTCTCCGCAATGGATTAGCCACTCTCTGACCTAGCAGAGAGGCTTGTTATCTGGCCTCCTACCAGGACTGGGTAATCGATTGTGGACAATGGCAGTAGCGATAGGAAGGCACTGTGGAGCTGGTGGCAGCGGCAAAATTGTAAGTGGACAGTCCCTCGTTATTTCCACCCTTGTTATTTCCACCTGGGGGGGTATTCTTATACAAATACCCCCATCTCTAAACAGAAGTATTCACAACTGCTGTTACCCATTCAGCTAAAGCACCTGTGGCTACGTTTATGAGCTAAGACAGGCAAGGATCCAAGATGGAAGTGCTGGCCTTCCCTTCTCCAAAGATCCTGTCTGCATCCTCAGGCTGCAAATGTTGAAACATATCTGTTATTAATGGGCAAGCAGGAGCTTAATTTGCATCCACTTGATCTGTTGCAATTACAGCATCCAAATCAAAATGTATTGCAAAGTGCTGTGCAAATTGTTCATAACAGTCGAGTCATCTACATTTTCCTCCTGTGGTGTAATAAGTGTTCAGCCATTCAAAGCATCTCTGCTGGGCAACTCTTAGCAGATGCAATGTGGACACAGAAAAATTATTTCTTTGCCATCAACTCAACAAGGAATAGGCCTTGCAATGAGCTCTAGCTCATGTCCAGTAAGATTTTCTCCATGTTTTCTGTCATCGTCACTCTAAATTCCATCTCATTAATTTCATCAGCACCAGCTCTCTAGTTTGACTCTAGTTTATACAAGGGGAAACTTAGGAGTAATTGTGTCTACTGCTCTTGCAGTTTCCCCATTCCAGAGATCAGCCAGGATTTTGACAGAACTGCTGGCCAAAACAACAGGAAATTTCCCAAAAACCATTCATAAGCCTCCTGCGGTGCACCATCTTGGTCAGCCCCCCAGCTTGAGGTTGCAAGTTGCAGTGACTAAACCCCACCAGGTAATGACAATGGAACTACAGAGAGTTTTTCCACATACAGATCACTATTATACCTTCCCGGTATAGAAAATCAGAGCGTTTCCTGCAGTGTGAGTGGGATCTGATACTATTTTGGACAGACCTTGCTCCTGACGAAATAGCCTCAGTATGGATAGTGAAGTCCTCCAGCATCAGAAACTGAAAGGACTCCAGTATTATGCCACCAAGGCTAACTAGGCCGGCTCAGGAAGACTGAGCAGTGGGATGGGCTGTACACCAGTAGCATCCCTAATCTGCCACAGGTGCTCACATTCAGTATATACACTTAAGCCTCACAGACAGCAGGATCAAACACCTGGTAAGAGGAATGGAGTCACTACAGACCACAACAACTCTGTCTCCCCACCTCCCTGGTCTTCCCTATTAGTATACCAATAACTCAGGTGAGCAGAACTGGCTGAGATTAACCTCACAAGCATCATCCAGCCATATTTTTGCAATATAAGATTGTTCTGATCTGGTCTTGAGTGACTGTTAGTTTTTCCCTCATCAACCTAGTATTTAATAGCAGCAGTTTTTGCCTGGGGGCCATGCTGCCAAGATTGTCCAAACTGTTTGAAATGGGGGACAGGTTGGTTTTGCACCCTTTCCCCCCCCCTCTCACAGTGGTTTTAATGGCAACTCCCTGGTTCACTTCAGGTTCTATCTGGTACGCATTTTCCATCACAGCAGGACCTGATAGCAGCCATTCTGTCAAGCTGCAGCAGATGCAGATGGGAAGTAGGGCCATTCCATTAGTTGTTCTGAAAGATTACTTTCTTTCGGCTCCTCCCTGAACAGCTTCCATTTTGTCTGGCCTTCATAAAACCTACAGTTTAAACTTTGGTGCCTGTATGTGCTTATTTTCCCTTCCTCTCCTCATCCCGGTTTCATCTTGTTTCTTAGACTGTAAACCTACCAGGAAGAGACTATCTCATTTCTTGTCTGTATGCAAGCTGCCCGGGGGTGGGTCGGTCTTGTGCTGAAGAGTGAAGTTAAAAACTTAAAATAAATAAATATATCTAACAAAGTCCTCCATGTTACATTTGAGAGTTAACAAGAGCCCCTTGAGAGTTTTAACCTGGTAATGAAAGGTAGAAAAATCAAGAGACGACTGAGGGAGATGACAAAATTTCACATACTTATTTTAAAAAATCTTTCAAATGTTTGCCTACAAGGGGTGTGTGTGTGTGTGTGTGTGTGTGTGTGTGTGTGAGAGAGAGAGAGAGAGAGAGAGAGAGAGAGAGAGAGAGAGAGAGAGAGAGAGAGAGAGAGTGTGTGT